TACCTTCGCATTTGATACAACTAACTTGTAACTAACTACTTTTGGACATAAAATATCATTTGAAAAACAAAACATTTTTTTTATTTTTATTTTTTATTTACTCTATTTATTTTATTACATTTCATATTTGTTTCCATATTCTGCTGTAGGTGGTCCCATATTCGAACTCCGTCAGGCATAACTTCAAAATGATAATATGAAATTTCGATCTCCCTTTTATTTGTACTCAATTCCAAAAAGTATTTGCGAAGTGCAGGATATTTAAATAGAAACGCGTTTAAAGAAAACAGCAGGAGTAATCCTGCATTACTTGTCCACTTGTTTTCAAGTTAGCTTTTTGTAGCTAACCACAAGTTATATATTTTATAGAAATCCCGCAAAAAAGTTAACTACAAGTAGGTTATTTTTTATCAATTGATAATTTTTTTCTGCAGGGTGTTTATACAACGCAATAAAAATAAGTACATAAGTTGGTTCCCCTCCTGTTTTTATCTTGATAGCTTATTGGTGTGGTTGAATTTTATTCAATTTGCTAAAAACATAATTTGCAATAAATTTAAAATGTCCCTTCATATATCAACGTACAAAAATATGTATACATTCATTTTGGAACTAGTATAATTTTATGGACACATGTATATGCATACATATATGTATGTATAAATGAAAAGATTGCTCCTCATCATGCTATAGAATCACCTATTCCTATTAGAATTATAGATTTTTGGGCCTACAGGACGCCACCCGAAATACATGGTGAATACTTAGCAGATTGTAGTTCATTTTTACGAGTAAACATGCACTAGGATAATTGACTCGGTTTTTCCAAACCGATTTCCACCGTTTTTTTTGGATAAGTATGTCGCATTTGATTTCAATAAATGAATGTTTTTTACGTGTTTGGCCGAGGTTCTCCTCCAATTCGTGTTCTCTTTCTTGATGTTGTAACAAATCTGGAGAGATCTTCACTTTTACTGCCACTCCGAAGAAGCTTTTATTATGGCAGCGGTACACTCGGAGGTGTTTTATTGTCCACCAAGGAGCGACCGCTGTTTGAAAAAACTTTTTTTTATGTTGCTGTGACCGGAAGTTGAACCATGAACCTTCCAAACGGCAGTTGGTACATCTGATGCCTCGGCCTCCGAACAAAATCAGAAAAATTGCAATAATTTAATGTTCAAATAAGACCAAACATAAACATAAAAGCAAACGTTGAGCTTATTTTGTTTTCCTCCTTTCTGAATAAAAGCTATCTTTATTGTTAATAGTTTCTTGGTAATTTTTAATCATGTCTTCATACCGACATAGGCATTTTCACTTTATGAAATCTCTGTAAAAAACGGTTTATTAGGTTTTTTCTTAATTTCAAAACAGGGAACCGTTTTTTTTTTTTATTGTGATTTTTCGAATAACTCGGAAACTGGTTGTGGAAAAAAGCCGAATAATCGAACACTCTAGTATACACATATCGCACATTTGCGGTATGAGCGTCGTAATCCGAAAAATACATAATAAACAAGTAATTTTTAGCAAAAAAAAAAACCGACTTCAACTCTCATATAAAAAAAAAATATATATATATATCTCATGATCCACTGATCGGATCTTAACCAGATTAGTATGGGACCACCTCTGGGACACTACCTTTCCGATGCAAAAAGAATTATCGGTAGAATCTGTTGACGTGGTCCAAAGTTATGCGGTAACATAAAAAAAAAAAA